CATTTGAAGAAGGACTGTCTTGATAAATTGACACATCAAAAGGAAACTCCCCCTACCATGTTTAAAGTACAGCATGGAGTGTAAAGAAAGAATGGAGAAAAAGCATCTATTAAACATCATATTTGAAACAATTTTCTGAGAGCTATGAAATCTTAGAGATACTTGCAGTTTAGAGATTGTAGGAAGAGAATGAACTTGAGAAAAATCCACCTGAAATTAAGCAGCTTACTTTGGAATCAATAGATAAAGAACCCTATATAAAGCCCAGGTATCAGGTACTGTGGCACACATCCATAATCCCAGCAACTTGGAAGGCTGGGGCAGGAGGATCAAAAGTTCAAAGCCAATTTCAGCCAATTAGCAAGACTGACTTAAAATAAAAATATAAAAAGGGCTGGGTTCAATGGTTAAGTGTCCTTGGGATCAATCCTTGCTACAAAAAAACAAACAAACAAACAAAAAAAAACAGGTTTAGGAGTTGCAGGAATGGGTGATGCTATAATGCTATAAATACTTAGGGAATAAAGAATGTAAGAAAAGGTGATTGCTTCCATGTAGGAGAACTGACAGGTAAAGAGAAGGGGAAAAATCCTGTACTTATAACTTGAGAGACTGACTTAAGGAAAAATATATATAGAGAGAGAATAGAACAGAGGGAGGATGAAGAAGTCTGGTTGTGACTGAATTTGATTTTGAGGTGTGCATAGAAACTATCGCTAAAGGCTCAGTGATGATGTATAAGCTGAGCATAAATTTTGAGATTCATAACCACATTGTGGTTAGCAAAACTGTAGAAATGGTAAGCTGAATTTAGGAATAAAAGTAAAGAATTTTGAAAGAGAATGATAAAGGATGAAACTCAAGTAATATCAGAATTTAGAATATAATGATAGAAAATGAAAACTTGAAAAGAGAAAAAAAGACACTACTGTAAGAAGAAATAGCAGGGCAATTTAATTGAGAAATAATACAATTTTCAACAAATGATGCTAGGGCAACTTGAATCCACATGCAATAAAATAGAGTTAGACCGCCTACCTCATAAACATTTTAAACTTGGCTCTAAATGGATCATAGATTTTTATTTATAAACTAAAATTCATAAAACTTTTAGAAAAAAATGTCATAAATTTACTTTGTGTTGGATGAAGTAAAGACTTCTTAAAATACCAAGAGCATAAATGATGAAAAAATAGGTAAATTAGACTCCACCAAAATTAAAACATTCGTGTTGCAAAAGCATCACCATCAGAAAACTGAAAATATAAACTGTTGCTTGGGAACATTTGCAAATTATATATTTAAAAGGAAATTGTATTCAAAATATGTAAAGAACTCTTACAATTAAAAAGTAAAGCTTGAATGAAACAATTTTAATAAGAAAAGAACCTGAATAAAAATATCTACAAAAATATATATAAGTGGCCACTAATCACATGTAAAGAGGCTCAATATGATAAGGTAGTACAGATTAAAACCACCATGCAACCACTTCACACCAGCTAGGATATTTATAATGACAAGTTTTAAAAATCGAAAATAATAATCAATGCCAACCATGTAGAGAAATTGAACCCTTTGTGTATTAATTATAGGAAAGCCCAATGGTGCAACTATTTTGGAAAACACTTTTGCATTTTCTCAAAATATTAAGCGTAGAATTATATGAACCTAAACATATATCCAAGAAAACCGAGAAAAAATATTTACACAGTCACTTTTATAAGGATATTCATAGTAGCACTATTCATAATAGCTAAACCAAGGGGAAAATCCTAATGTATTTCAAATAGTGAATAAATAAACAAAACATGGTATATGCATACAATGAAGTATTATTCAGCAATACAAAGAAATTACCCACTGATATATGATATAATATGGATGAATCTTGAGACATAAATGTAAAAAAAAAATTAAGATCACATGTAGTACTAAATAATATAGATGAAATGTCAAATACTGGGAGAATTCATTACAGACAGAAGTTTGATCACTGTTTTCCAAAATCAATTGGGAGAATGTGTAAGGAGAGGACTGACAAGTAGATCCCAATGGATATAGGGTTTCTGGTGGGGATGATAAAAATATCCCAGAGTTACATAAGTGATGAAAAAATTAAGTAAATTAGACTCCACCCAAATTAAAAACTTTTGTGTTGCAAAGCATACCATCAGAAAACTGAAAATATAAACTGTTGCTTGGGAACATTTGCAAATCATATATTTAAAAGAAAATTGTATCCAAGATATATAAAGAACTCCTACAAGTAAAAAATAACATTTGAATGAAACAATTTTAGTAGGCAAAGAATCTGAATAAAAATATCTACAAAAATATGTATAAGTGGCCACTAATCACATGTAAAGATGGTGGTGGTTTTGTAAACTTTGAATATGTTGTTTTTAAATGCTGAATTATACACTGTAAAATGTTGAAATTTCTAGTACCTGAATTAGGGTTTCAGTAAAGCTGTTCAAAGAATTACCTTTTGTGTTTCCCCATCCCATCACTTTATAGAGATTCAGTGTAGCTGTGTGGTCTCCCTTGACCTTCTTTGTCAGACTTTGTATAGTTACTTGAAACAACGTTTGCTGATTCTAGTATTGGAACGCAACATAGGACAAGAGATTACAGCTGGGTGAATCTGCTGTCTGCACTACTGCATCTTTAAAATTCACATACCAACTCTCTGAAATCATGAAATCAATTTTGGATTTGAGTTTTCTTACAATCATGTGGACAGAATGTCATGGGTGATGGTGACTCATGATCCCACAATTGCCCAAGAAGATAAATCTTCTGCTAAGACATACCTCTGTATTTGAGTTTAGAATAATACTTCAATCCTCTAAATCTTCAGGAGTTCCAAAATCTCATGTAGGCTTTCCTTCAAAGATGTGCTTCTCTAATTCTCTCATGCCCTTTAAAGTTAGATTATTTTTTTCCTTGCTTGCAGAAAGTTCAGAAAAGTCAACAAACCTTTTGTTTCTTTATAGGCATCCAATACAGGAGGCACAACAGGATTTTGAGACACAGTCCAAAGAAAGTTCACTCTGTTACTTTCCTTTCTTAGTTGACAATCTTAGGTTACTTAACTGTTGTTTTACATTGTATGTCTAGTAAAAATAAATAAATTTAGTCTGAAGAAAGTCTTTTCTTGCAAAGTTATATATATTTTTTTCTTCAATAATATATGTTTGGAATTCTTCTGTAAAAATTTAGATGCCAGCTGCACTATATAATTACTAAGTGACCTTGAGCAAGTTACTTGACCACTCTGTCAATTTTACTGCAAGAGAGGAAAATGACAGAATTGAAGATTACTTTTGGTTCCTATACCTAGGACATAAAAATAATAATCCAAAGTGATTGTGTAAATAGAAATGGGTTCTAGAAATTAGTGTTATTTGCTATTATAAACATTTTTTTAAAAAATTTTCACTCAGCTGCATGTTTCATTTGAGTATGTAGCTTCAGCCATTATCTTTAAAAGTGAGCAATAAATCAACCTTTAGAAAACTCTGATGGCAGTAAACCAGAGTACCTATCATTTCTTGGAGTCAGAGTTCTATGTTAGCCAAATATGGTGCCATTTTTCTCTGAAAATGGTAAGCAATTCACAGTGAGTTGATTTGTATATGCCTAGTTGTATCTTTTGAGGATCTTACTATCACTCAAGGAATTTATATTCATTGCAACAGTTATTACTTGTCTATTCTGGTATCCTGAGATTTTTAAAGAAAATCTATCTGTATAAATATCTTAACCTCATTGAAACCAGAAATGAAGCATAGTAGTAAATTATATGATTAACTCTTTGCATTTTCCTCATCTATAATAAATCATTAACAACACATACATTGTTACTAAAATAATATGAAAATGGACTTAAAGTGGATGCTTCATCTAAACTTTACTGTAAATGTCTTATCCCTGAACCAAATTATATATATATGTATATATAACATTTTAAATATGTGTATATATATAATTTTATAAATACATATATATAAATTTATTATATATGTGTATATATAAAATTGAAATATATATATATGTATATATATATATATATACACACACACACACACACACACACATACATATATACATACATACATAGTCTTTGCTAAATACCAATATAGGGTAAATCCCTGGATTAGATGATCTAGGTGTGACGTTCCGGGCAATAGTCAGTTTTCCTTAGTACTTTGGAGAACTAGATATTTATTAAAAAATAAAATTGAACTCAGATATCTAAGTTCCTCACTTTCCTTACATGTAAGACAATGATAATGTGAATTTCTATTTTGTTAAGATGTCTCTTTTTAAAGTAAAGAGAAGTGCTTTATACATTTATTTCACCATGATATGCTATTGTAATACACACATACTCACATACACAGTACAGCACACACCAGTTAGTAAAAATCTTAGAACACAGTGTATCTCTAGATGATGAGTTCCATTTTCTAGAATTGATTTTGCAAAAGGAATCTAGTATTTGGTTTGTGTTGTTGTTTTCTAGTTTAATTTTAAATAAAGCTTATTAAATATTGGCTGCTTCTTATAAAACAGTTGGAAAATAGAGAAAACAAATGACACATAAAATCCTCTCTCTCCAATACCATCAATTGGAGTTCAGTACTGTTAGCAATTTTGATGAATTTTTCAGTTGTCTCCCTGACAGGTCTCACCTGAGGAAATGGACTCCTTCAGGTGCTTGAACATGGACCACCAGCTCCATACCCATTGCTGGTAGCTGGTAAGAACAGATAAATTGGAATCAGAGGAATATCAGAAATCTTCAAAACCCAGGAGCAGCAGACTTTTCAAGGGTCCCAAAACCTCTTCGTAGTTGACACATTCTGCTTAAGAAGCTTGAGATGGCATTATAGGCTCAGGGTGCATTTCTGGAGGCTGCTTACTCCTGCTCTCTTTCCATCCCTATCAGGGAAGTCATTATGCATTTCTAATTAGAACAATATTTTAAACACTCTTCAGAGCTCCGTTCTTCCAAGTAGGTTTAATCAGGCGAGAGACACCTTGCCTACGACTCCAAGAGTCTGATCTTATTGAATCCACTCTCACCCCTTACCAAGCACGTCAGTTCAATTATTGGCAGATTAGATTTTTCTTTGCACCCGCCCCCACCCCCTAGTCCTCAGGAGAAAAGGGAATAAATGATCAGCTCCCGACTGGTGCTCACCCGAGTGACCAGAGTGCAGCCGGGTGACCGCAGCCTCGCGCGGGGCGATCGCTGGACACCCCTCCCTCTTCCCGCGCCGCCTCCAGCTGGAGTGACAACGCGCCCTCTGGGCTCCGGAGCCGCGGAGCTGAACAATCCCAGGCAAGGCTAGCCTCACCGGTGACATCACTCTCGAAGATACTCCCAGCTCCTAGCTCCTGCCTTAGCTGGCGTCCGTCCGTTTGTCCGTCTCCATCAGTCAACCACTGGAGAGTGCTCATCGCTTCCTGGGGACGGAGCCGGGCTCTGAGGAGCGACAGGACCCGGAGGAGGCAAGGCAGCAAGGGAAGGAGGACCCCGGCAGGCGACAACATGAAATTCAGCCCCGCGCACTACTTGCTGCCTCTCCTGCCAGCGCTGGTACTCAGCACCAGGTGAGTCCAGGAGCCAGAGTGACCTGTGCCAAGGGGCGCTGCCGGTGCGTTGTAGGTCCTACTGCGTGTCACCAGAGAGGGTCAAAGGCACTTTAACAGTTTGCATCTCCCGCCTTAGAGAATTGCTGTTAAGATTTGGGCTCAGACATCCTTCCAGGAGAACAGATACCCTTTCTAATTAACCCAGTCCCTTGGAGAAAGTCTCAGGATTGCTTCCAGCAGAGACCAAAAGCTTCTCTTCAGAGGGAAAGAAGGCATTTTTTTCCTCTATAGCTCTAGTAGCAGTGAACAGAAAACATGCGGTAATAGAACAAAATTAAGAAAGGAAATAGAGAAACAAGAATGGGATTGTCACAAGGCAGTGTCTTCACTGCTGGAGCTGTTGTAATAGTTAAAGAACTCACCATCCTGCTTCAGTGTGCCTGATTTTAAGATATAGGAAACCAGGGCAAACAGAAGGTGCTAGAAGATTTGAAGACTCGTGCAAAAGTTCTTGGACTAGTGAAATGGTCTGTTTGACTTCTTGGGCAGGCTTAGTGATAGGTGTTTTGTTTGGGCTGTCTTGTGCATAGGTCTAATTAAAGAGCACAGAAGGCAATTAAAAGTTAGAAAACATTCTCAGAGTGCTGATGCAGAGACCCAAGTCAGAAACAATTAAGCACTGTACTCCATCACTGGGCATAGATGAGACTTTAAGGCTTAGTACAGAGGAGCTATTTTTAGTGGAGATTTAAAATGCAGTGATTGAGAAGAGTTTTGTGACTTGCTAGTGTTGATCAAGTCCAAAGTTGGTGAGGGGTTTGCTTTCTTCTTCCACAAGCATAACACAAGGGTGGACTGTTTCATTGCCCAGGACTGAGTCTTTATTCTGCATGCCCTCAGCATCATATTGGCAGAAACCACTCTGCCTTGGCTACTATAAAATAAAATAACACACAGAGGATGAGGCTTCTTTCAAATCTACATGAATAGAAACATTGTCTGATGGTGCATTTGATAGAAAATAAGAAAAGAACATAGAATTGCTTATAATTCTGAAGTGGAAAAAGATAAAGAAAACTCATTACCACTTTAAAATGAAAATGATAAAAAATTTTAATACCATTCCTAATTCATACACCTTGTCCTTCTCAAAACTTTGTTTGTTATTTTGTTTGTGTGTGTGTATGTATGTGTGTTGGAGCTGTTTCATTCAGCCCCATTAAGTGGATGGATTTAGTCTTTCCTTGCACACAAAGCCCAGGTGAATTTCTCAGACTAAAACACAATTTAAATTTTATTTTCCTTAAGGTTTTCTTGTCACTTTGGTTCGTAAGATGCACATGGTTTTAAAGAATACCACTTTGCCTCTGAGTATTATCATAACTTGCTCCAAATGCAGAGACAATTTCAATATTTGTGTTTAGCTCTGAACAGATCATTATATATCACAGTGATTCTTTGAAATCTTGCCGTTTACTCTTATGTTCTAGTTTAATAATTACTTGTGTAGTCTTCTAGAGAAAGGAAATTTCCAAAGTTTATGCACTTAAGTAGACGCCAGTCAACATATGCTTAAAACAGTAAACATTTAAGTGATGGAAACCCAGTGTACAGTGATTTTAAAGGGAATAAGAATTTTCAAACTTCCAAAAGTATATTTGTATTTTAAAGATGTTATAATTTAAATGACTTAGAAAGCTGTAAATTCTCATCTCCAAAGTTTTAGGGGTTAATAATATAACCACAAATAGCCATATTCTTTCTCTGATATTAAAGTATTAATTTCTATAAAAACAAATTTCTTTAATAAAAGTCAACACATTTATAACAAAAAAAATGAAAGTCATTCCTTGATCTCTTTAGATATAAAACTTCTGCAATGTTGGTATGTATAAAATTGTGACAGGTCTTTAAATTTTTCAAAAAGAGAATACTAAGCTTGAAAAGACAAAAATTTCATAGTCAATACCACATATTGTTAATGTGAATACACTGTAGGAATTTATTTTACTGGATATCCAGTTTACCTTGTGATGGTGAACACATTTCCAAATTAATGTGGTACTATCAGTATGTCACTTTGCAAAAAGAGAATATGTTTTAAAGAAGTCTAACAGAAGGCCATTCTCATTGCAATCTTTGACAGTTCTTAAAGGCATATGGATAATGTGCAGGTTAGAACCCAAACTGAACAGCTTTGTGGGAACAGTTGCATTAGTAAGGTTGAACTTACTGTCCTGCTGTGAAAAACTGTGCAGCTCAGTCATGGCCACCTGTGACAGTGAATTTTCAAGCCAAAGACTACTGTTAACTTTGTTTCTTAGTGAGTGGTCCTATATGTGAAGCAAATGGCATTTCACGTTCTTAGGTTGTGTAGAATGCCTTAGCAGAGGGTGATAATTACTGTTTTTTTTTTTTTTCCTATAACCTTTGGGTAATGTCACTTGTCTTTTAATGTCAACTTCCTTGTAAAGTGTGGGGAATATGCAGCTGAGACCCTTTTGCATAAAAAAAAGAATTTGTTTTATCTCTTGCTCTGAATATAGCTCCTCAATACTTTAGTATTTTTCCCCAATAAGTCTAAAGTTGGTTTCTATTGTAAACTAAAGCAAAAAGTTACTGAAAGAAATACTGCAGTTAAGAAAAGTCACTATTCGATAGTATTTGTGCCATAGGAATGGAAACTCTAACACAATTCTGAATTTTAAATAGAAAATTTTGAACAGAGTTGTTTCTGTTTGCTCCTCCTCTTCCTCTCATGTGCTGTAGCAACTCTAGACTCTGAAGCACTAAAATCCCCAAATTTCATTGGAAAAAAAAAGTAATTATCCTCCAATTATAGTTACTTTTTGCTATGAGAAAGATAAATGTCACCTTCAACAGTAGCCAATAATTTTTCTCTGTTTTTCTGGTAAATTCCATAGAGTCAAAAAGAGCTGTTTAATTTACTGGCGTATTGTCTTTCTTGTTTGTAAAGTACACATAAATTCAAAACGTCAAGTTAATAATATGAATAATGTAGCTAATACAGAGACCCATTTAACCTGTGCACAAATAAATGTGGTCAAAGAAAGCAAATATATGTGTTGGTTTAATAGCTTCAGAGTAGAATGACTGTACTTTTTAAATAGCCTCATTCTGTAGAGGTATTAAATTGCTATTCCAAGGCAGCCAGTAATTCACTTCAGAAAGAAGTGTAGGTATTAAAAAGAATGGTAGGGTGAAAAATTCTTTAGAAGTTCTTGGTGAAAAGGGACTCATGGGGCACTGGAGAAGGTTTGTTCTTTAGTCTCCTGAATCTCTGTTCCTTTAGGCTGTGGCTATATTCTTTATGCCTCTGGATTGTTAAGTTTTAAATGACTTAATGGGGAGAGATGTAGCAGGGAGGAGTGAAGGTCCACATACTTCTGGTGATTTTCCATTAAGGAAGAACTCTGAGCAGATGGTCGGTTATAGTCTTCCCAATAGGAGTCACCTTAGAGATCTCTCCTGGGCCCTCTGAACAGCACTCACACCACATGTTTGCTTGGAGTCTATGTTTAGATGATACTATATATTGAGAATACCCCAGGCCCCTGTTTGTTCTGTGACTTACTCTAACCTCAGGATAAAGTTTAGAAAAGGACAAAGATAAAGATAACAGTAAACACACAATCAGTACACACACTTACACACAATTATTTTTTGAGACAGCATCTTTCTATGGCTCCCAGGCCCAGCCTTGAACTCATGATACTGCAGCTTAGCCTCCCAATTAGCTGGGCTCACAGGTATGCTACGCTGCATGTGAATTCACTCACAAATATTTTATATTTAATGTGGGAGGCAGTCTCACTCTAATTCCCCTGGAATAGTGTGAGGTAATTTGTTTTTCCCGTAATTTTACACAGTGTGAGCTACACATGACCCTTTATGTGAAACCACCTAGACTACCCTGAAGAAATTCTTTGTGAAAAGTATTGGAATAGCCTATGTAAATAAGTTAGATAAATAATTTTCATAAGAGATTTGGAAAGAAAAGATATTACAACATATGAGGTTTCAATTCTATCCCTGAATTGTCTATTGTTGAAACAATTTATTTGGAGATTATCTTTGGGGATTAAATTCTTTCTATGAGTAAATGGTAGGGACACCCAAAAGATTTATGTGTTGGCTGTGCAATTGTCCCAAACTGAGTAAGTGGTTGAAGAGAACTTGACCTTCCAACTAGGAAGTAAACATCAGTGGAACCACTGAGGAGTTTGTGAAATGAAATTTTTTCACATGCATTTTGAGACACTTTGTGTGTGTGTGTGTGTGTGCTTGTGTGTGTGTTTCTGAGTGACTTCTAGAGGATTTGTTATGATTACTTGAACAAATGGGACTAAATCATTTAAGAAACCTGATTAAACAGACACTGTTCAAGATTATGTTTTCTTCTCTGAGGAATTAAAAATAAAACTACCTGAACTTATCTTTATCCCTTCAGAGTTGTCTGTTAGTTTTTCATTATCATATAATGAGTGTGCTCACCATCAGTTAGTTATTGAATGAGGCGTAAGGACAATGAAACAATAGATTAAGGACAAATACATATCCCTAGAACTAGTTATATACACAAAAAGGTATCTATAGGAAAAAAATTGGATGAAAGACAATATCAAAATTTTATGCAACGTTGTAAGTGTATATGGAGAAGAGAGTAAATAATGCCAATTTTAGGAGAATCAATAGTAACTTCTACTTTCTAAGGATGATGAGGTGAATAATATTTTGTAATCAATGTTAGTATCATGCAACAATTGCTAGTTGTATGATATTATGGAAATTGCTTATCATCTATAATCGTGGTACCCATGTAGAAAACAGTATACCTCATGGAACTTACCTATTATGTTGCTTTAAAGACTGAATGAGGGCTGGGGGTGAAGCAGCATTCAGAGCACTAACCTCACATGTGTGAGGTACTACATTTGTTCCCCAGCACCACAGAAAAAAAATTAAAAAAAAATAAATTTTGAAAAGAATTTAGGCAT